TGGGTCACAAAGGTAGCACAGTGAGAGATGAGAACATAGAATACATTAACACCGTGTTAATACTCAAATCAATTAACAATATGTTGAAATGTATTCAAGATTTTCACTCAGCTTTTGTTCCCCTTTGCACTTGGGAAAGTGATAGTACTCACATCTTTCCAAGGGCAGTAGGCAGAAAATTCTCAAACTTTCCTCTCTTGCTAATGAGTCACTAAAAGTTAGGCCTTGAACAGAGATATTTAATAAAAGATTCCTACATTGGTTTCTATCCAGGTGTCTTCAGGATATATTGAACTATTTGAAACAAACAAACAAACACACACACACACACAATACTTTACAACTAGCTAAAAGATAACATCTCTTTAATGTTGGCTGGAATTGAATTGTTCCAGTTTGAGATCTAGTTTGGTATCATGTATCTTATGAAGATAGGAGGCTTTGGTCAGAATTAAAGTAGAAATATAAATCAATGATTACTTTAATACAATCTGAGGCTAAAACATTATGGCTCATATGGTAAGATGATAGGAGAATTTTTTAATGTAAAAGCTGATAACTCTGATGTAGGCTCCGATACAATAATTGTATAGATGAAAACACTTTTGACTCCTTTATTATGATTTATTCCCTCCCTTTGCTAAAGTCCTTTTGTTTCTGTATATGAATGGATAAGGGAATAGTTACAGAGGGCTAGTTTCCTGGCTGTGTAATCTGGGCAGTTCTAAGCTTCTAGACCAGTGGTTCTCAAGCTTCCTAATGCCACAACCCTTTAATACAGTTCCTGTGGGTTGTGACCCACAGGTTGAGAACTGCTGTTCTAGACTAAGGGACCTGTGCTCAGATTAATGCCATAGTCACTGTCGTGAAGTTCATAATAATTTTGAACAAGAAGCCTGGCATTTTCATGTTGCCCTGAGTTTCACAAATTATGTATTTAGTCTCACAGCTCTGGTTTTTTTTTTTTTTTCAGTCACTCACTATTTCCTCTGTGAGTCTGAAAATTTACCTGGGGTAGGTTTCTTTAAATATGTCTCACCCCAGTTATTACAAAGGTGTCTCACACTAGAAGACCTGTAGACATGAGCTTCCCATGGAGGGAGACCCAGGCTTCTTCACGCTCCCATCCCGAGTGCTGACTTCAGTGCCTGAAATGGAGCAAGTCCTGATAAATGAATAGGTGAGTGAACCGATGAATAACAAATTAAAAACAAATGTCTGCTGACTGATTTCATTGATCAAAAAGAAAAAAAATGAATGGTTTTAGTTTTGTTGTGAAAGTGACTAAAAGGTTGAGAGAAATTAAAAGTCAGTGTTCAAGTAAAAGACATTCTAGGAAAGAAGAAATAAAGCAATTAACCGGAAGGTAAAGGGAGTTAGACTGGAAGCCAGGTTGAACTTGAACGCTACGCCAAGAACAAGTGATGAGGTGGCCGTGGGGTCGATAGTCAAAGGCAGTTTGGTGTTTCCCAACAAGTCATACCATGAGGTGGGCTCGTTCTTCTTAAATTCAATTCAGTGCATTTGGATTCATCTTGTAAGTTGTAACTCAGGACATGAAAATTGTTGCCCATGTTTGGGGAAGGCTGGGTATTCAGAAGAAACCAAAAAATTATTGACTTTTCTTGGCTATTCCCAGAGTTCCTTGACCTGCTATTTTGCACTGAGAAGCAGAGTCATATAAAGAAGGAAGTGGTATGAACCAGTGATTTGTGTGTGTGTGTCCTCTGGGTGTGTCCTCATGTTCTGGCTCTCTGTTACCCTAGCTTAGCTAAGCACATTTTATTCTTTGAACCGTAACAGTTTCCTACCCTTACATATTCTTAACATTGATTTTTGTAAAATAAAATAAAATAACACAAAATGAATGCTTCTTTCTCCAGAGTCTTGTGTATTGTGTCCCATCACTTCTCTTATGGCTTCAGAGTATCAGCTCTTTACAAGTTGCGTAACCCCTTTGTGTGGTTATCTCTTCCCTGGTCTATCGTCTTTCCATAAATATCATAACAGAGTCATATTTATCTTTAAAGAGGTTACCTATAGCATTGTCTAGCCTTATGTGACTAAAATTGTGCACGGATGTCCAAGTATGGCTTTAATTTCCTTTTGTATTCCAGCAAAACTTTCTCACATATTCATTGCTTCTATTATTGGTTTCCAGATTATGCAGGGTGCTGTGATAACGCTGATTCACTGAATATTAAATTTGTTAGAGCAAGTGATTTTATGCTTCAGATATTTATGGAAAATTCAAATTTTGGAGAATGATGATAATGGTGGACCAGATGGAAATAATAGCACTGACACTTATAACCAAAATAAGCCAAAAGTGGCAACAAGCCCTTGAAGGGAAGATGGTCCTTAAAATAGAGAATGAGAACAGTAGCCAGGAGCATGACTCGTCCGGAACACACAGATTCTAAACAAGCAATGGTGAGGTCAGAGGGCTACACAGCGGAGTTCCAATCTAGTGTGTGGGGGGTTAGCTGAGACCTGCAAGCTTTGGTAAGATGCACAAATGAATGAGAAAGAAGATGATGGCAAATGGCTTCCATCTAGGGGAGCAGAGGCATTTCCCCCGACGAATTTCCACTGATACAGAATCACAATGTATTCCTGGCCACCCAAATTAATTCCTGTGATTAACAATGGGCAAAGTGAACTGCTCCAATAAACCAACAATGAAATTCTAAAAAAGATGGATGGGTGGAATCGTCTTACTGTTCCCATGTTTCTGTGACACACATTTAAATAACTGTGCCTTAAGATTGTACTGCCAGAGTGGTAGCCATCATTAGAAAAGCTTAGTCCGGAAGCCCAGGTCTGGTCCTCTGGCCCTCTCTGTTAGAACAATCAGTTTATAAACCAGCCAGTGAAGGAGTGGGAGAAAAGAGACTGGCATAGTCAAACTATTTTAGATTTTGTTTCACAATCTATCATAAAATAAAGCAATGTTCAAGCATCAAATTTTCTTCAATTACTAGGAGCTGTACGTTAAAAAAAGTATTTTTAAAAGGAAACAAACACCTCAGTTTAGTTTTTAAATCTAAGTCTAAACAGGCAAAGAGAGGAGATAATTTTACTAAGTTTAAAAAAGTCATGCAAATGTAGAATAGAAAAGTGGTGAGTGGATCAAATTCACTTCCAGGGAAAGCTTGAGCTGAACGTTACATGAATATTCACACAATAGCAACCTGTTTGAAATTGCTATTGGGTGTAATTCCAACATTTATGCATTTTATCATCTCCTAGGCATAAAGCCAAAGGCTAAAGGAGCAAAACATGAAAGCTGAGCCTGAATTATATTCCAAACCCTGTTGAGTTCAATTTTACTTACAGAGCAGAATTCTAGTTGCCACTTAAATTTGCCCCTTACAGTCCTGTAAAAATACTTGGTTTCTTATCGTTCTCTAAATTGTGATATTCATTTGGAAAGCTCCAATTTTAGGACCATCATTCTAAATTACTAGGCAAGTGCACACAATAAATATACATAATGAAAACAGATCATAGCAAGAGAAGAAAGCAATTTTCTGTAAATTTGACGGCAGTGTGGGGTTTGCAGCTCCATGAGTCTTGCAACTTTACAGGGCACAAAGGAAAATTTGTAGCTAAATGGAATGGAATGCACTTAAAGGATGAGCACTTTAAAGGTTGGTGAGTTGTAATAAGGTAATACAGATGTACATTCTCTCTATGAATTTGGACAAAGGATCAAATGGCCTTCTGAAGAGAAACAAAACAATGGGCAAACTGCCACTCACCGAGGCGCACAGTTCTTTCAGAACGTTTTCCTTGAACCAGTGATGAATGCACGACCCCCAATCCCTACACACTGGTGACAGATATGACAACACAGAGATCGATGATGAAACTCATTCTATGCCTCTGTTACTCTTTGAGATTTTATCATCTTTTAGTGAATTCTTATAATTTATAATTGTAAAATGGTCCAGGTGGATAAAAGGCCAGTTAATCGGAAACATAATTTCTTACTGTGGACTATAAATTTTTATTTGTGGAGACCATGTAAGGAGCCCGAGCCTGCAATGTTCATACCACTCAAAAAGTAACTGTGTAAGATCAAAAAGGGAAAGGCATTAGGTGAGAAGCTGGCCGTGTCCCAGATTGTTCCTGGAACTCTGGTTGTATGGTGGGTTGACTTTGCGATTATTCATTGAGTGGAGCAGCTGTACACTGATGATTGGTGAGAATGTAGATAGATTGTATGTCAACAAAAAGCTAAAATGGAAGGAAGAAAGAAAGAAAAAAGAAAGAAAGAAAGCTGGGAGGGAGAAGTGTAGGGAAGGAAAAAGGAGGGGAGGAAGGAAACACGTGCCAGGACCTGTACTCCCAGACGCGGGAACGCTGTGATAAAGGAGGTGGGCGCTCGCCATTTGTTTAAATCAAATAAGATGAAGCTTCACAGAATTGCAGAATTGGCCAGTCTCACTCATAACTGGAACCCACTTAACTGCCATTTCTGCACAGAGAGGCTGTGTGTTGACATTTTCAGACTTTTAAAAAATCCCTGTCACTTAACAATTGCAAATGTCACCATCTTACACATGCAGTTTTCCTGTTTTTGGAAACAGAATTTAGAAGTTAGTGGAGGAAAAAAAGTGCCTAGGGGTCCTACTAGTTTTGCATTCACAAAACACATTTACACACAGACGGATTTGGTCTCTATAGGCCAAGGGTCTTCGAGGCTCAACTTTTTGAAAGTTCTGCTCAGTAATAAGTTGGTTAAACACTTAGCAACCACTTGTTCCTAAAGGTATTCTGGATTCTGAATTTGGATCTGTAGTTATTCCTCTGATGCTAAGGAGCAGTTTTCCATGTAATTTTTTCAAAGGCAAAAGGTTACGCAAAAATAACATTTATTATAAAATTGATGGCAAAATGCACAGTACTGCTGTGCTCCAAGTCCATGCATTTAAATTCCTCTGTATGATAATTGAAGGTGTCATGTCTTCAGACTGCACTATGAGCATACTCACCCCTAACAAGAAGCTCTGCCTCATCTGACACACTGTCTGCTGTGGTCTGTACCCTGCAGCCATATCTCCCAGCATGCATCAGAAGGATGTTCCTGATCATTAAATCTGCAGAGGATGCTTGCTGAAAGAGGGATGAAGTGCCAGTTTAAAAGGTTGCACATCTGCCTAGTTCAAGGTGGTTTAAGGGGGGACTTTGCATATTTAGTCACAGGGCCCATTTTTGGGCTTACAATTTATATGACAACAATTCAGAAATCAAACATGCCCTATTTTAAGGAACGCATGGAAGTTATGTTTTTAACAATTGCTGATAAAGAGTTTAAACAGTTGCTATTGCATATAATGATTTAGCAGCTAAGGTATTTAAGAAATATCTAAATATGCATAAACAAACTCATACCTTCAGAAGTACAGGAAAAATAATTAGTAAAAATTATTGCTTTGCTATTCAGAGACAGGCCTATTTTTGTGGCAAGATCATCATGTTGTAAGGAATAGCAACTCGTGGGAAGTTAATTATGAGAAGGGAGCAGTTGAAAGACTCTCGTGTGGCTTCCTGACTGGTTCCTTTTGAATGTACACTGTGGACAACAGAATGAGATGAGGGGATAGGTGAAAGGTTATTGGCCCCAAAGCCAAGTGTCTTAGTGTCTTTCCTTAACAAAGATACATTCCTCCCGTAACCACCACCACTGGGGAGCAAGGGGAGCCCGAATCTCTGGTAATCAATGTAGTTACAAAAGAGAGGAGGCTCAAACACCTGATTCTTGTTGGGAACAAGATGATTAGAACATATGTGAATAATAATTACAGTTAAGGTGATCAATAAGTACCAGGGAGATGCTTTAGATGTATCAGTTCATCAGTTCAGCGATGATCCTACACTTTAAAACTTTCACTCATTAATGTTGCCTTTCCTGTACTCTATCAGGGAAGATAGATTTCTTTCATTGCGTTCATGAGAAGATATGGTACAATAACTCACAAAGTACACTTTTCAGGTAATGGCACAGCAAAACTCTAGTACTCTCTATAGTTTCCATGTTGTAATCAAGAAACAATTGACTGGGATCGGGGAGAGGCATGCAGCCTGAAATGACATCTTTCAAAAGTCCCAGATTTTCTCCAACAATAATTGAGCACGTGAAATTATAGCAAAGGTCCTAGAGAAGAGAAGCACCCAATATTAGCACCCATCTTCTAATTTTTGATGAAATGAAAGTGAATTACCTTTAAAAAAGTGATGTTGGGTTCTTAGAGGGCGGTATCTGGAAGATCATTTAAGAATTTAGGTCTTTGCCTTTGTTGTCAAGTGGCTTTTATGAAAATTGTGAAAATAAGACTAACTTCTTGAAATCCTTTGGATTTTTTTTTTTAGCATTTATAGAAAGGGTGTGAAGTCACAGTGAACTTTTTATTATGCAAATAATATAAGTCTCCTTCACTTAGTTACTTTACTATATATTATGTTTTAGGTTATTTCTTTCTAGTATTTAATTTCTTTTTTGTGTTGTTTTTTGCCTTCCTATTAGTCTTACGATAGGAACTTCTAAGGGTATTGGCGTTTTCGCTCATGAAATAATTGTTAAGACATGGTCTGGTTTAGTCATTTACAAGGAAATGCTTCACGGTGAGAATGCATTAAAATGTCATAACAATTATTTTAAGGAATGTGATATTTGTCCGGTGAATGTCCTGTACTGCTAATTTCCTTGGGATAAATTGTTACTCTTAAATTCTGATAAAATTCCCTTTCTCATCTCCACTAGACTAAGTGCTCATTTCTTTCATAACTGAAAAGGAAAAATTTAAAACCCTTTGATTTTTTTTTTGCGGGAGAACAAAAGTAAACTGTAAATATTCTAAACCATAATTCAGCTTGAAATCAGTATAATTCAGTACCTATGCCTGATGTCCAGTACCATCTGTCCTTGTGGGACAGGCCTACTGTGTCCCCTCTCTTCCCGTGGAGTTCTAAGACGCTCTTTAATGGGGAGGGGCACTTGATTAAATTAATTGGGAATGAGTGTGCTCTCTGCACACCTAGCATTCTGGGGGGGGGGGACTGTCTCTGTTTAAAGAGAAAGCTAAGGAAGAGCCCCATAAAATCAGGGGGGATTTGATTTTTTTTCTAGAAATAACACTGTCTGAAAGACTGCATCTATTTTTCATTTGTTTGCTTTGTTGTGTTTTTTATTTGCTTGTTTGTTTTTTAATGCCACGAACCAGATTTGTGGCAGTTTAACAGCAGAAGAGGACTGGCCATAAGCCATTTTTCAGGGTCATAGTTTTAAAAAAAATTCATAAGATCATAGTCCTCTAATTAAACGACTGATTGTCTCGTTTTCCAGACCTTTTTCCTCTCAGATGATGTATTTTTTTTATTTTTGTCCTGAATAAAATTCTCCAAACCTTTTTCTTGCCATGAGATTACAGTGAGGGAAAACCTTAATAGGATGAAAGAGAGATTTTGTTAAATCACACAAAGGTCTGAGGAATTCAGGAGAGTGAGGAATCGATTGTCTTCCCTATGTTTTTCCTTACGTGGTTTCTATAATTCACAGCATGCCCTACTCTGTAAACCCACCAAAGCTCCACTGCCATCTACCAAGAGCAGAAAGTCTATGGTCTACTGTCTATCAATGCCAACCCCATTGGAGGAGTCAAAATCACCTCATTTGGGGTCCATCCCTTCTCTTTTGGTTTATATCTAAATCATATTTCAAAAATTTTAAACATGGAAGATTAAAAGTAAAAATGAATGGATTGTGAACACCAAACCTAAATTACCCTTTCAGTAGATGTACTGATCTTTCAAGAGAAGTAATGAGAAGAATTCCTGGGGGAACCCATTACACTTAATCTCCGCCCACGGGATGGGACGCTCCCCGAGCGAGGCCTCCTCAGCTGAGAGCACTTTAAATGAATGGTCACGCTCAGCAGAGGCTTTGCTGCACCTGAACCTCATCTCCACTTTTTGTCTCTCAGGATCTACTCTCTCTTATCTTGTTTTCTTGACACTTGCTATATTTTCTGTCTCCCTCTGGGGAGGGGAGCAGGAAGGCAGCGTCTTTGTCTTGTTTGGAATAAATCAGGCAACCTGCATCAACAGGTTCATTTGATATGAACTTCCACCCAGTCCTCCCAGACTAGCACTCAGGGTGGCGCCTGTGGCTCAAAGGAGTAGGGCGCAGGCCCCATATGCTGGAGGTGGCGGGATCAAACCCAGCCCCAGCCAAAAACTGCTTAAAAAAAAACAAAAAACAAAAAACTAGCACACATAGCGTATATATATATATATATATATATACACACACACACACACCCCGTACTGTGGGAGCTCAGGAACAGCACACATAGTGTATACACACACACACAGACACCCTGCACTGGGAGCTCAGGAACAGCACACATAGTGTATACACACACACACACACACAC